ACATATTTTGAAGGAAAGTAGTCCAAAGTCATACTTAAGTAATACGGAAGGATGCCGCGAAACCATTGAATATTTGGAAAAATGTTTAGCTTTGTAATAACATGAAAGTCGAAACCTAATTGTTTTGGTTTGAATTTCGCAAAAACGTTACACTGCTAACTTAGCAGTGATAGACTAGAGGGAAGGCAGCTAGTCAATACTACCCATCGCCAACTCTTGGGCTACTCTTTTACCAACGAATGGTGGGCTTGAACGTCTTACTAAAAAGCCTCCACGACGGAAAGGGCGAGCATATTTGATGGGATGAGGATTCGAACCCACGACCCGCAGATTGGGAGTCGAGTGCCCTAACCACCAGACCACGTCAGGCCCTTTAAGACATAGAGTGTCTTCTAAGTAATTCTGTAATTTCTTCTGCTTTATTGTAATACGTTCGAAAATACTAATAATACATACAATTAAAGTAGGTAATGCTTACTATAGGTAAATAGTATCGTAAATAACACATTTGTTACATCAGCAGATTACATCCAACTTGGTCCCAAAGCGGAACAGCGGTAAGTCTATGGAGTTACAGCACAAAAATCCGGAATTCGATTCCACACGGTGGATACATCAGATAGCCCAACGTGGATTTGCTCTAAAACCAAAACCAAACAAACAAAAGAACGATCGAGCATACCACACTTATATAAACAGCAAACATAGAAATCTATATTCGTGGCTAACTTACCCGAACTTTTGGAACATTCACTTGTGTCACTTTATGAACACGAACATGTTGTAAAAACTAATAAAAATCCGACTCAAAAATAGGTGAGGTGTATTTTCCCGCCTTTCTGTTTTGAGTTTTGATGGCTACATTTAGACTCATACGTTTTACGCTCTCGCAGTGGCACAGCAGTAAGTCTGAAGGCTTATAACTGTAAATAAACTGTGTTTCGATACCCGTGGTGGGTACAGCACAGCTAGCTCATTGTGTGTGTTTAACTACAGACAAATAAAATTAAGTTTTACATGTCTTTATATATATATAAAGTTTCAATAACTTTAATACTTTTTATTTTAATAGCTTTGTTTCGCACACATCCAACGTGTGCGATCATTTTTATTTATATTTATTCTAATTAAAATACATTTTATTTAAACAATCTACTAAATGGAATGATTCTTGTTTACCTGAACATTTAAGCTACATTTACCCAGCAAGCAGTTTGTTTGTTTGTAGTTAAGCACAAAGCTAAACAATGGGCTCTCTGTGCTCTGCCCACCACTGGTATAGAAACCCGGTTTCAAGCAGTGTAAGTCCGCAAACATACCACTGTGACACTGGGAAGGGGGGGGGTGGGTACGGATTAACATTGTGACG